CTGAGGCTTAAATGCTACAACCCAAAGTCCTCACAACTTTTTGGCCAGTTCAATAATCTGCATATAGTATCAGCCCACGGATTGCTACGGTGTCTTTGTCATCTCTCAGCAAATCGAAGTATAAAATGCATGAAAAAAGGCAAAAAATACACAAAAATATCACTTTAAAGAGTCAGTTTACCCAAATCTGATATTTGGTGTTTGGTGCATGCTGGAGAGTTAGACCCCATGACATTGTGTTCGATCAGAAACTTTTTTGGGATGATAATGTATCTTGAGTTCCCGGGTCTGTACACCTGTTGTACCCATTATGAGGGGCTCCCACCATCCCTGTGCTCAGTTCCTGGGTCTGTACACCTGCTGTGCCCATTATGAGGAGCTCCCACCATCCCTGTGCTGAGTTCCCGGGTCTGTACACCCGCTGTGCCCATTATGAGGAGCTCCCACCATCCCTGTGCTGAGTTCCCGGGTCTGTACACCCGCTGTGCCCATTATGAGGGGCTCCCACCATCCCTGTGCTGAGTTCCCAGGTCTGTACACCTGCTGTGCCCATTATGAGGGGCCCCCACCATCCCTGTGCTGAGTTCCCGGATCTGTACACCCGCTGTGCCCATTATGAGGAGCTCCCACCATCCCTATGCACCATCCCCTCCCAGCACATTTAGTGATGTATTAATGATTACAGAGCTGCATTGATTTGAGTCTATTATGGAGCGCATCTTTAACAATGTATAGGAGAAAAAAATCATCTAAATCAGGTTAACAATATGACGGGACGCTGCTAGGAAAAGAATTGAACCATAGTTACATAGTATTTGAGGTTCAATAAAGACATAAGTCCAACCTATTGCGTGTATGCATTTATGTTTGATCTGGTGTGTGCGTGTGTATAAGTCCATGTGTGATTTTGCCCTTAGCAGTACCTGTACCCCTGTATGTTATGCTCTCCGAGGGACTCGTCCAGGAGTCTCTTGAATGATTCCACACTCTTAGCTGAAATCACTTCCTGCGGCAGAGAGTTCGAGACACTAACCGCTCTAACTGTGAAGAACCCCTTGCGCCCCGTGTGTAGAATTTTTTTTATACCAATTTTTAGTGTTACGGAGCTAACCGTAAACAGTTTGTAAGTAATGTTGCCGTCGCCGTTGAACAGTTTATACAAGAAAATCATGTCCCCCCTTAATCTCCTAACCTCCAAAGAGAACATATTTAAAGGAGAACTATGGGGTTAAGTCCAAAGCATTCCCTTCTTAATGCAAGACAGGACTCCGCTTGCTTTGTTTACAGCAGCCTGGCACTGCGAGCTGTCCAAAACCTCTATTCAAGCATACGGCCCGTGAACAGCAATCTGAATAAATACATTTATGTCCAGAGATAAAAACATTGTATGTGAAGCTTTCTGCAACATTGAAAGATTTGTCATCTCATGCAGCGGGATTTCACGCACGCCGACCAGCGTGGAAGAAGGAAACATCTCCCTACCTTTGTCTTACCTTCGTAACATTCCCGTCAGAATCCTGGAGCTCTTCCCCAAATTTGTGTCGGTTTCCCTGAGCTGAGGAGGGAGAAGAAGGTTTGAGTTTTCACATCACAGACGGCGATAGGAGATCAGTAAGAATAATGGAAACCTCCTTGTGTGATTGGAGCCCCAAAACGGGTCCGGACCTTTCAAAACCCTCTAGAGAGCAGGAACAGAACCTCCAACCCTCACAATGTGTGAATTACTATGGAGATGAAGGTTCAACTAGACCCGTACAAAGGTTCCAATACACACTTGTCCTGTTTCATGGTCACACCGCAATACCAGACTTAGACAATAGGTGGCAATGCAAGTGGATAATAACAGCAAGTTCACGCACCCCAAGGAAGAAAATTAAATCTTGGCTCTGGCCTCTGCTGCTTTTGGGAGGCACGGGCATTGTCCCCCTAATTCCAGGCAGATATGGGGGCTTGAAAGCCTGCAAAAAATGTAATTGCAAGGGTGCGTTCTCATGGGATTTTGAGCTCCTGGTTCTGTTGGGAGACATGGTGACGCCACCAATGCCTCCCATAGGTGTCAGCTTGGGACCAAGCTACTTTTTTTTCTGGTGTGTGTGTGGGGTTTACAATGACCTTTTAAAGACATTTGTGGGGCAGAGGGTCTTGAAAGGTCACTTTTAAGGTTAAAGGATAACTTCCCATCCCATGGCCCGGGGAATAATACCCAAAGATTGTCCAGCACCAGGAAGGGCCACACAGTGAAGATCTCAAGAGGCGAGCTGAAGGTCAGTATTTAGGTAAGTGGCTGCCAATAAAGTGGGTGAGGGGAACAAAAAGTTTGGGCTTCATATATTCTTTATTTCAATGTTTCGCTCACCCCCTTGATTGGCAGCCACTTACCTAAATACCTACCTTCAGCCCCACCATTGAGATCTTCACTGTGTGGGCCTGCCTGGTGATGGATGGCCTTTAGAGTAAAATTTTAGTCCTTGATAGAGTGGAGAGGTGTTATGAACTTGTATTTGTTGGTTGCTATCTTTTTCCCCGATGGGACGATTTCCTCTCACTTCCTGCCCTGAAAAAAACCCTGCTCTGGGCTCACCCTAAGCCCATTGGAAGATCTCCCCCCACTAATCCTACTCTGGTGACAACTGTAAAATTGTGGATTTCCCATCACTGGGACAATGGTCACCTGACCAAATAGAGAGGATGAATCTCGCCAGTGGGGACCCGAGATGAAAATAAAAACCCAACGAGGGTCTCGCCCCTCAACCCTCAAAAACAGTGGTCTGTTGTTACATAGTATTTGAGGTTAAATAAAGACACAGGTCCATCAAGTTCAACCTTTGTGTGTCTGTGTGTGATTGTGCGTGTGTATGTGTGTCAATATGTATGTGATTGGGCATGTGTATGCAGACACGGTGACTTACTCTCTCTCTCGCTCTCTGGATCTTCTCCCGGTCTTGGCTCAGGTTCTCCAAGATATTCTGTCCAATTTGCTCTGCGGAGACATTAAATGGGAGAATGAGCATTGTGACGCCACCCAAAGCATCCAAAGGTGGTCAATTATTAAGAGGCAATCAGATTATTAAAAGCTATGTTGTACTCTATATGTGTTTTGGGTCGGCCTTGAGAAAGGACTCTGGATGCGTCTCAAAGAGTCCTTCCCCAATAATCAGAAATGTATCCTCAAGTTTGCCCTCTTGAGCTGGACATACACTGCTAGAATTTAGTTTTATACATTCTGTCAAAAGCTTTCATCAGAGCATTTGCTCCCGGCCATCATCGAGTCAACTCATTTCATTTGGAAACCCTTAAAAATTTCCTCCAGACCGGCTACTTAAATGGAACGCTGGACGTTTTGAACGGGTTCCTCTGAGACCAGCACATGCACATTACAATGTGGACAATTTTATTCCAAACATAAATCTCATTAACAGTTAGAATTATATTCGTTCAGATGAGAAGCAAGAAAACATTTTCCATCCCGCTGCTTTGAGTTTCAAAAACAAATTTTGTTTACATAGTTACATAGTATTTGGGGTTGAATAAAGATGTAAGTCCATCAAGTTATGGGTTGGACTTGATGGATGTATGTCTTTATTCAACCCCAAATACCATGTAACTATGCAACAAGTCCAACCTATTGCGTGTATGCATTTATGTTTGATCTGGTGTGTACGAGTCCATGTGTGATCTTGTTCTTAGGCGTACCTGTACCCGTGTATGTTATGCTCTCCGAGGAAACTCGTCCAAGAGTTTCTTGAATGATTCCACACTCTTAGACCCCATTCACACCTAGCGACATACCTTTTGCAGTGGATCCGCACGGCCGGGATAGCGCGATTTTCGGGGCGACGATCCAGCGACGGTAGCGCGACCTTCTGTGCAGCGTCTCAGTATACCGGCTACAGCTCCCTATATACTGAGCCTAGGGTGACGGGAGGAGGCTAGTTTGTGTCCTCCCTTTACCCTAAGGAGAACTATGGGGAAAAGCCCTGACCCCATAGTTCTCCTTTAACCGCTCTAACTGTGAAGAACCCCTTGCGCCCTGTGTGTTGACATTTTTTTTCCACCAATTTTTGGTGGTGCCCTGTGGTCTTTGTTACGGAGCTGACCGTAAACAGTTTGTTAACAATGTTGCTGTCACCGTTGCACAGTTTATACACGAATATCATGTCCCCCCCTTAATCTCCTCACCTCCAACGAGAACATATTTAATTTTAACAGCCTTGGTTCATAGTTTAGGTCCTCGAACCCCTTAATGAGTTTTGTTGCCCTCCGCTGGACTTTTTCCCCACTATTAAAAAAATCGAACAAATGTTCCAAAAACAAAACTTTTTGAACAAATTTTTACAGGCATCTGAACTAATGAATTTTGCCAATATGAATTCCTGGGCGTCTGCCCTCTCAGCCCACAGTATCCACTCCCTAACCAACGTCAACCTGCACAATGATTACACATTATAAATAAGGCCCGTAATTCACCTTTTACCGAAATCTTTTAAATTGAATCCATTTTCATTTTACATTCTGGAAGATCCATCAGAGGAGGTGCGACACCCTTTTGTCGGTCACAGCTGCCATGGCGCGGGTGGCAGAGACTGAACTCCAAAAGGGAAAACTTATGATCAGATTCCAACGCGGGTAACTCAGGAGGACTCATCAGCCCACTGATATCGCTGAGATCACTTTCAAAGTCCAACTTGTAACATTTTATATGGAGCAGAGATGGCTGAGAATCTCTGCCAGGTTTTTATAGCTCATTTATTTTTATAACGAACTTTAAATAATTACCCCGTATATGACTTTAATGGTCAAGGATGGCACATGCTTTCCGGTCAGCGTTTCCACCAAGTTATGTTTATGGTCAGCCCTGAGAAAGGAAGCGCAGATCCCTGAAACATGTTGGGTTACCATTAGATCTTCATCTACATCAGGGGCAGGCAAACTCCGGCCCTCCAGTGATAGGAAAGCTCACAGATATGTGTTCGGCATCGATTCAAAATATGAAGAACTTGAGCTAAACGATAATCCGGCACGGCGGTTTCACACCCGGCGAGACGAGAGAGCGGACGCTTCTCCCGCCAAAGGTCCGGCTCTACACTTTGTCCGTGCAGGACGCGCAGAATTCTAAGTAAGACCCTTTTATAAATGGCAGGACAAAAGCGCAGCGTACGCGAGTGACCCCGACACAGCCGAGGCATCGCCAGCTCAGACAGCCGCCGTTTCACACGAGCGGGATAATACGATGATTTACTGCGGCTTTATATCACTATTATCAGACGGCGTCACACCTCCATATCGCAGATTAGACAGAGCGCGCCGGAGTGCGCTCTCCAGAGGAAACTCACAGACAGTTCTCAATTGTTAGCAAACAGCAAGGTCACCGTGTCAGAATGAAAAAGAGTTATAGAAATGACTTTTACTTTTCAGTTTCGAGCCGCCGAGCTCAAAGAACCAGCGCTGGGAAAGCCGATGTTATGGTGGAAACTATGCAGCGATATCGTTTTTCCAGTATTGAGTAACGATATTTATATTTCGGTAGTCGCCGATACCAAAGACCGATACCGGCACTTGCGCTAGCATGGAGCCGGCTTCCTGGGCAATCAGGAAGCTAGGTGGCGTGTCATTACCCACCCCCTGGCTTCTTGATTGCCCCGGGAAGCCGTCTCGACGCTTTTTGGGTGGCTCGATGCTGATTGACCGGGAAGCAGGCTTCTCAGCCAATCAGCATCGAGCTAGCTGTTTGGCAACCTGGCTTCCTGAGTGGCCGGAAAGCCGGCTCCATGTTCCTTTGTGGCACTGCCGGTCAGAGGAAATCCCCCTCTGATCAGAAGTTCCAGTTATGGGATAAGTATTGGAGCATTTGGGCATTACAAGCCCAAGTACTCAGTATCGGCACCGGTACTAGTATCAGTGCATCCCTAATAATTAGGGTGTGTGACTGGGGGGGGGGCATTAGAGTGTAAGTTCTTGTGGTGCAGATACTGATGTGACTGGCTCTCAGTGTTCTCTGTACAGCACTGTGGTCTATGTCAGAGCTATATACATGTATAATAATAGTGTGTGACTGTGGGGGGGGGACATTAGAGTGTCAGCTCCTCTGTACAGAGACGGATGTGACTGGCTCAGTGTTCTCTGTACAGCACTGTGGTCTATGTCAGAGCTATATACATGTATAATAATAGTGTGTGACTGTGGGGGGGGGACATTAGAGTGTCAGCTCCTCTGTACAGAGACGGATGTGACTGGCTCAGTGTTCTCTGTACAGCACTGTGGTCTATGTCAGAGCTATATACATGTATAATAATAGTGTGTGACTGTGGGGGGGGGACATTAGAGTGTCAGCTCCTCTGTACAGAGACGGATGTGACTGGCTCAGTGTTCTCTGTACAGCACTGTGGTCTATGTCAGAGCTATATACATGTATAATAATAGTGTGTGACTGTGGGGGGGGGACATTAGAGTGTCAGCTCCTCTGTACAGAGACGGATGTGACTGGCTCAGTGTTCTCTGTACAGCACTGTGGTCTATGTCAGAGCTATATACATGTATAATAATAGTGTGTGACTGTGGGGGGGGGACATTAGAGTGTCAGCTCCTCTGTACAGAGACGGATGTGACTGGCTCAGTGTTCTCTGTACAGCACTGTGGTCTATGTCAGAGCTATATACATGTATAATAATAGTGTGTGACTGTGGGGGGGGGACATTAGAGTGTCAGCTCCTCTGTACAGAGACTGATGTGCCTGTGGGGGGGAGGGGACATTAGAGTGTAAGCTCCTCTGTACAGAGACGGATGTGACTGGCTCAGTGTTCTCTGTACATCACTGTGGTATATGTCAGAGCTATATAACTGTATAATTACAATAGAACTATGGACAGAGGTGCAGTGGGGACATGGTGTATGTGCCTCAGGGGTGGTGACAGATGTGAACAGCTCGCGGTCCTCTTAAATCTGCAAAACTTATGAACACCCTAAAAATGAATTACATCAAAAAAATTGAGTATTAATGTTTCTAATGTGATTCTATAATATCTGAATATTGCTGGAAAGAACATTCCGAAAGCTGGAAATAATTATGATTAATAAATAAAAAATAAGTACAAAAGTAGAAGAAAAAAAAAATTGCAATATTTGGCCCAGGTTAAATTATTATTATTATAGAGGATTTATAGAGCGCCAACAGTGTGTGCAGCGCTGTACAATATAAAGGAAGTCATTACAATCACAATACAATTCAAGACAAGATGGTAAGGAGGGCCCTGATCCTGAGAGCTTACAATCTAAAAGGGAGGGGCCAGTGATACATGAGGAGGTAGCTGTGATTAAAAACAATAAAAAAAAAAAGGGAGAAAGAAAAATAACCCGGAGATGTCTAACAGCCTTTTAATTCACCCCCCAATCCCGCTCTCCTCTCTCCATGCGACTGGTTCGATTTAGCTACCGTCCATTAGCGTGCCACTGCCGGGGTGAACGGAACGGAAAAATCTCGTGTCACTTTGATAAATCGCTGCTTCCTGGGCCAATTGTGGAGGACAAACAAGAATCAACAGACGGAGGCACGGGGGCATGTCGAGCAGAACATGTCAGAACAAAAAAATGTATTTTGCTACATCTGATTCAAGTTTGATGTTTCTTCTCCGTGCAAAAAAAAAAATTAAATACATAAAAATTCACTCAACTCCACTGGGGAGGAGACTCGCAGACTCTTCTCAAGAGCTCAACTTTCGGCATCATTAGAGGGGGAAAAAATTTGTAAGGAAAATGTGTGTTAATTAAAAATGGCCGCCCTACATTTCAATGGACTCTTTGATACTTCCGATGTTTACTAATTTACACTCCCCTCCCCCACACCAATCCTTGAAAAAAGTGGCTAAAAATTGCAGCTGATATTTTAAAGTTAATCTTCGGCCAGCCTGAGGTTCCTTTCATGTGCGGCATTTCCAAAAGTTCTCGGCCATTAAACTTTACATACCGACGAAAAAAAAAAACATT